ATATTGAATCTCCCGTGGAAGCCTGACGAGCGGGAGCGAAACCGGTTGCTTCCCACCCCTCCTTGTTGTTGAGTTTTTTTTTTTTTTTTTATTATTTAATATTGTTTTAGTATGTCTTGTAATATTAAATTTTATACTTTTATTTCGATCATTAAATTTTGTACTTACAAAAATATCTTTAAATATATATATATATATATATATATATATATATATATATATATATAATAAATATTACCGACTTAAATATCATGAAGTCAATTTGAATCACCACAATCCGCAGTCGGTAAAAGTGATGTGATAATTCCATATATATATATATATATATACTACAGTTAAAAAGCTGGAAGCAACCTAATAAGCATGGGATTAACTTGACTGAAGAGTGAAAAAATGAACAAGAGTTCTAAGAGTCACTGAAAAAGAGAATTGAATTATCAAATTTATATTTTAAAAACGAATGCCAAAAATGTGTGCTGCAGCAATCAAGGCGAATGTACGATATTTTGACGTGAGCGGATTTTTGTCATAACAAAATTTCTAATAAAAATCATGTTTCAATTTTTTAACCAATCATAATAAAAAAAATGATACAAAACAACGAATTCTAATATATATATATATATATATATATATATATATATATATATATATTAAAATTAAAATAAATGAAATTAAATAGTATAAAAGATCAAAGAAAATAATTATACAATAAGATAAATATAAAACAAATATAATAAAATTATATGATACCAAACAAAAGGTCAAGAAAATAAATAATCGCAAAATTATCTCTAAGCTTCAAAATGAAATAAACAAAAATGTTTTCCTCTTCTCTCATTAGGAAATGACCGGTATAAAGACTTCAATGGCTGACATAAAGAGCCCACACAAAGAGGTGTGTTGATTCCCATGCACAAATTCCTTATCTCCCTCTCTGTCAGTATGAATTTCTGTTTTCCTCCCTTTGATCCCTATCCCTCGCTCTCTCTATTCTAACATTATTTTTAGCATAATCCTTTCATATTCACGAATATTTTTTCGTGTATTATAATAAATTGATGCAAGAAATGCACTGTAACAATCTAAATCTTTTATTTCTCAATTTACTTTCTTTCTCTTTCTGAGAAAATCAGCAGTGGTGCAATTTTTTGTAGTTAGACAAAAAATATGTTTAGCTATCCATTACTGAATTTTCTCTTTCGTTGAAATGCAACATAAAAGAGAAAATGTCCACAATGGATAAATTTTTCACGTTTTAATGAACACTAAAGCAGTTGGATTTAAACACAAAAATAATAACTTCAGTAATGGTAAGTTACACATTTTTACCTAACCAGTTGCCAGCAACGTAAAAAAGAAGATGTGCTTCACAATTTTAATTTATAGAAGAGTATTGGTATATGCATAATCCTTCACGTAGTATCGAGCCATAAGGAACAGATCTATTATATATATATATATATATATATATATATATATATATATATATTTTCTCAGTGTAAATACATCCATATATATACAGGTGATTAAAAAGTATTTTATGCGTGAGTAGTCAGCCAAGTGTCGTGACTAAACCCCATGTGACTTTATTCTTTGGAGTTGGTTAAAGAGCAAGTCTACCCTACCCAAGCAACACACACACACAGACACACACACACACACACACACACACACACACACACACACACACACATACCCACACACACGAACACACACAAAAGGACATTATATATATATATATATATATTGTTACGCCCGGGGTTTCGTTGGGACTACGATAGCCGGGACGCAACGAGAAAATAAAAAAAAAAATAAGTAAGAGATCCCAAGGTTCGATATAAAAATATAGAAAAGAACGTTGGGAGGGAAATTCTCCAATTCCGGACGTTGGTCAACGCAGAGAGAAAATAAACAATACGCTGATACAGAACAACAGAAGACAACACGAGAATATATAATACAAAGATTTTATTCATAGAATACACAAAGTGTGAATAAAAGAAAAAGAAAACTAAATAATACAATGGAAGGGGAGATAAGTTACCAATTAAACAGAAACTAATGCGGCGAAATACATATGAATACGGAGATAGCAGATTATAAGATATGGAAAAACATGAAGAAACTTACATAAGGTTGGAATCGACGTTGATTGACTATTATCGGGGTACAGTTTGTTCAAAGGATATTTACACATTTCTTTGAAAGTAACGGATGGGATTGACAATGTTCTAACATGAATTCTTGACTGGCGACACCCAATCCGTGTTGATGGCGAGGAGAACAAACAGAAAAATCAAGGGGGTATAGCCGACTTGGGTTGACGATGTTGGTCTAGATTCTCGCGTCGGTCCTTTGGGTTTTGGCGGCATCTAATTCTTCTGGCATCAAACAACGAAGTCTGGTTTTGGTGACAACTGCTTCTTCTAATGGCAAATAGCTAAGACTGGTTTTGGTGACGTCCGACTGCTCCGATAGCCAGCAACTATGTGAGATC